TACTGTTTCGATCGCGCATCTTGCGTTCACAAGTTCCGGCCGGTTTGCAGGCGAGTGATTACCCAGAATTTGTTTAGGGCACGTCCTTACGAAATTGAGGCAGCGTTTATCGAAAATGAGCTGCTCAATCACCCCAGGTGGCTGCCGAGCTCCGCTGTGCGTCAAGACTTTATTACAGTGGGAAAACAACTCGAAATAGCCTGGGCAGCCTAGGGGATTACATGTCGCCCTCCACCTTCGTAGAACTTTTCGTTTAGTGGAAAGAAAGATCAGGAAATTTCGGGTGGACACACGCGCGCCGGCCACTTTCATATGATTTAGTCCGCCGGTCAAGGTCGTCGTGCTGAGTTTTTGTGTGTGTATCTGATTGAGGCGAAGTAAAAGTGTTTACCAGGTTCTCCGATGCAGTTTCCGAGGATCGTTCGTGTTACTTACAAGTGCTTTCAATGACCGTGGTCGCGCCTGCTCTAATCGGCCAAGATGACGTCGCGAATGTTACTTTTCCACGCCCGAAATCCGCCGATAGTGCTTTTGTGGCAAAGTACTGTGGACGTAGTACTGTCGTGTAACAACCATTCAACTACATTGAAGAACCGGGAGTGACCGTGCAGCTGCAACGTTGATCCCCGCAAACTACACCCCGTACACACACCGTTCTATTACACACTTGTAATGTTACATAGCCAGACGATTTAGGTGATAAAGAGAGATTAGGGGTTTCAAGGCATTTTTCTATAAATCCCAACTATCTCCCGAGTCTCCAGAGTTTGCGTTGAAATAATGCTACCATTGGGAAGAAGTTTCTCGAAAATAGGATGTGTTAACAAAAACACCTTGCCGAATTTACTTAAATTTTTATGCATTTGGATGGTGAGGACAAATGCGCAGAAAACACCAGCAAAACCCGCGGAGGACTCGGAAGAAAACACGTATACGGTTAACACCGTCATAATCACGAAGTCCGAGACTGTGCACATACCACTTTCTAACACTGAAGAGATCCTAACGTGAGCACTGAACAGTGTGCGTGTGAGTATGGATGAATAGGTGGATTTAGGAAAGTGGGACGGTACATACCTGATCGGACTCAAAAGGTTCTTCAATTTCTTTAAAACTGGCGAGCAGGCGAATATCTGTACATATTTTGTGTACAGTGGCGCCGAGACTAGAGAGGATGCTCACAAGTTCAGAGTCCAGTTTGCGCGGGTAAGTCTGTCCTGTGACTCTCCAAAGTTTCGAAAAACCAGCTTTGGCGGCCACGAGCTCGTCGAGGCGTGTGACCTTCACAGACAAAAGATTAAGTTCCTTGAAGATATCTGACAGTTTTCCAAAACTTAAGGATATGGGGGTGATATATGGAACTGAAACATATACCACAGAAAGCACTTATGGAAATAGTTCATCGAAGTAGGAATTCTCTACCAAGCGAAACAAGCGCACTTTTCTATGATAAAATGAAACATGTGTAGCTCGTCTTTGAATTCAAAAGATGGATGAAGTCCTTAGCAGACATGAACTAATTCCCCTGCCCGATAACGTCAAATTCAAAAATCGCAAATAGCGGATTCGGAAGATATGACAATTAGCCTGGGAAATTTGAGGTCATCTACCATAACTGATACGAGGAATTCTAACTGCTCCCTGCATCTCAGTTGTTATCTTGACTAGTGCAACGAGTAACAGCGATGAAGTGGTCGGCGGCCCTAAGGAATCTGTCTGATACGAACCATCTTAAAACACCGATAAGACTAAGTTACTGCAGCCCATTGAGCATATGTTGATTGCCAAAACTGGCGCTCAGTCATTAATAGTTGCAAAAGTAGACGATCAAGAGCAGGAAGTTTACACAGCAGAAAAAGAAGAAAGCACGGTGGATTACAGCCCCATGGTGTTGCTCTACAAAATCGTGAAGCAGTCATTGCATCCAAATTATTTGAAGCACGCCAATCAGTTGTACTAACTGATTCCTCCTTTGACAACCTTATGACGATGGCGCACACATAATGGTGTCTACAAATATGATGAACAGATTACGCAAAATACAAAACACACACAACCAGCCGGGCGGGCGTGTGATGACAAAATGCTGTGGCACTGGGTGCACGTTCGAATCATCTCCACATTCCCAGTACCATGAACAATGGTAGTAGTGTTTTGCATGAAAGCAGGAAAAACATCGCATTCAGAAACTTCATAATTTAAAGACATTTAGTCTAGAATCGACAGGGTTCGTAAGCCTGCTTTCTTGTCCCAACTTGTAGTTCATAAAGATTTGGTCATACCTGATCTGGTCAATTTCAATGATGTCGCGGACAGCACCTCTCAACAAGCGACGCTCAACATTAGCGGATCCAGAGGGCTCGACCAACTCCCATATCTGATGACAAAGATCGAGTACTGAAGGTCCAAATGACACCCCCATGTCTTGCCAGACTGTGTCCAGTCAGGTTTCCAGCCAATCTCCTTTTCACCACCTCCAACTGGATGCCAACGTTGGTTTTAGAGTGGCAGCAAGGAGCTTATGGGATGGGCGGCGAACAGCAAGGCCAGACCATCTCAACCGTCTTTCTTGCATGGTCTGGGCAATCCTGGCGGTATTACCGTAGCGGGTCCGGACAGTCGGTGTGCTTCATTTGGAAGACTATTGTTAGGTAGCGGTGGTCAAGAACTTCCATGTTTTACTAGTCTTCAGCGTGTGAACTCTAGCACTCACCACCGTAAAGAAGAGCTTGCCGCACGAAGGACCGGTACACGCTAATCTATGTGGTAACTGAGATGTCACGACCGGTCCACGGACACTTTTGGAGGCTTGCGAAGTGCATCGATCCAGGCGATAACGTTGTCCTCAGTCTACCCATTTGGCGGCAAATTAGTCTAGAGACGTTCGAAGTCGTCCCCTCCTTCAGGTTGATAGTCATTCATCAAGGGGAGACGTGATTATTTCTGGTCAGGACACAGCTCGAGATGACCTCCATCTTCGCAGCATTTATGGATAGACAGACCGAACAGACAATCTTAGTAATCTGAGACAACATTCTGTGGGCCATCACTTGCGGGGTTATACCGTCCGCTAAATGGGAGTCGATCAGTTGGCGTCTTCGGAAAAATTCGCCACTGTCAGGACCACGTTCAAGCCTGAATCCAGTTAAGGACGCACTGAAAAGAAATGCGTGACATGGGCAACTTCGTCGAACGAATGGATGAGATTGTTATAGACAAGGAGTTGTGAAGTAGCGGAGCCACCGTGAGTGTTCGACCGCCTCTCAGGGTGGTTGCAGCATGGTTGGCTTTCATTTGAACAAGTTTGGTGAAGCAGACTTAAGCAGCATCTACCGCAGCCTCTCCTCACTCTTAAACCGGGCTTTGATGCCAAAACGATGTGAAGATGGCCGGATCTCGGATACAGTGCTTGGAAAAGGCTAAACGACCCGACTGCGTCTGCCACATACGACCTGGTCCCTGCGAAGTATACCAGGTTTCAAAGAGAGGGGGACAGGGCTCTCGAGTTTGAGTGTCACAGAGGCCATATTAAGGGGTCAGTGGGCCTGACTCGGTCCACGAGCCAGTCGCTCCACACACACACAGAGTACTGGCTACAAGAACCGAGTTAGCCAATGAGCTAACTGTTTTCCAAGCCAAGACTTCAAGCGCGTCAGGTTTAGTATACTGATGAATCGCAGAAGTGGCGTGGGGAGGGACTTCCCTGTGACCATCTCACTATCTTCCGTTTACCATGCACAAGTCACCTGTCCGAGTCTGTCAATCCTCCGGTGATGCGATTGGGCAGTGGTTAACAAAAGTGCAAACGCCGTCACAGCAAGCGTCGAGCGCAGAGATGCTTCTTTACGATACACCGCCTAGTCTCAGTATACACTACAGTGACTCACAATGAAAGGAATCGAACCTGTCGTCCGGCAACCGGATCCGAAAGTCCCGGCCGATAACATCTGCAATTTGGATGATACTGATGGTTCGTGTTTTAGGGTTAGGACACATGTCGCTGGTGCTTCAAAAAGCTAAATCAATGTTAGGCGCATGAAGACCAGAACGCGACTACAATCCACGGCCGACGACTCCGTGCTTGATACGCCGACCGAAGTTGAAATGCAACAGAGCACGGACCTCTTTGCCCCCGGGTGTGATAATCTCGGCCTCACAATCGACTTAGACAAAACGGTGGTCATGCATCAATCGTGAACCAACACGCAACACTGCACTCCTCCTCAAATAACTGTCCACGGATACCAACTCAAACCCCGTGGATAATTTTGCTTATCTCGGAAGCATACTTTCCAACAACACCGGAATCGATGATAAGGTTGCCCACTGGTTCTTCAAAGCCAGTCAAACCTTCGGCCGGATGCAAGCTCCCGTGTGGAATCGTCACGGCCTTCAAATGAACACCAAACTGAGGATGGGTAAGGTCGTTGTCTTGGCGACACTCTTGTACGGAGCGGTGGCCTGGACTGCCTACGCAAGTCATATCAGTAAGATCAACCATTTCCATCTCAGCTGCCTTCGAAGAATACTGTAGCTGAGATGGCAAGACAGGATCCCCGACACGAAATTCCTGGAACGCGTCGGAGTCCTCAGCATCCACGCTACTTGAGTCAACTGCAACTGCGATGAAGCGACCATCTGGTGGAAACGGACGACGCTCGACTACTAAAAATCTTATACGGAGATGCTTCTACCGTTGCTCGTCGGCCGGGAGGACCAAAAGAACGCTAAAAGGACACACTGAAGTATTCTCTTAAACGATTGCATATCAATCCATAGGCCTCGGAAGACCTCGGTCAGAGCAGACCGGCCTGGAGAAGAGAATTGAGGACCAACGCTGCCATCTACGAAGTAAATCGAATCGCCGCCACCACCAAAGCCCAACGAAAGACTCACAAATCACAGGTTCCTTGCCTCCTCAGTGCCAAAAGTCCAACATGCCCACGCTGCCAACGCGCATTCCGCGCACGAATTGGTCTCGGTGGACACCTTCGGACCCAATGCGCTATCCATCTGGCAACCTTTACCTCTTCTCCCATTCTCGCCCCCCCCCCGCCCTGCAGGCCCCGCGCAGACTGCCCCCATCGTCACCGCCCCCCGCCACCATCCGCCCTACCCCAATCCCTGTATCGACTGCAGCGGTCAACATCACCACTACCACGTCTCCACACACTGCCCTCGCCGATGCGACGGCGTCCGAGGTCTCCTCAACTTCAAACGCCTCCACCTCCAGCGATGTGGACTCGGTTCATGCCTGTCTACCTAACACATCTGCCTGGTCGGTCCATCGCACGGAGATTGGCGAACCAGTGGCTGGGGCACCCACACACAGCCGCAGCATCCACCTTAACTGCCTTCGCTTCACCCGCACGTTCACTCACCGCGTGGACCTATTAGGACACATGCGCATTCACGAAAACCTACGGTAGACAACCGCCGGCTACACCACACCATCCCATTTTCCCCCACCAGCACTCGACGCATGTGATTCGAGCCTGAGACTATCACGGTGCGCCAAGCGCCGTGGCATGGAAGGCTGCCGACTGAAGCCTCAACTCAATCCACGCAGTCTGCCGAATTGTGTGCGTCTGCGTGGAGTGGCAGAGTGGTCTACTGAAAGCTAGGCTGCATCGGCTCCGTCTGTGATATTCGCGCATGTGAGGAGTATTTGTGTGCTTTATGGGCTAGATCGCAGTTGGTAGCCAGGAATGAGGAAGCGGACGGCAACCTTAACTCTAACACTAACCCTAACCTCAACCTTAAACGTTAACCGTTAACCCTAACGGCAACCCTAACCCTAACCGAAATCGTAAATGTAACCGTAGCCCTTAGACATAGCTGTAACTGGAAAACCTTACCGTAATACTGAAACCTAATCGTACGCTCAAACCCTAACCGTAACCCGAAAACCTAAGCCTGAGGGCATAACCCTAACCCGAAAATCGGAAACCATTAACCGGTACTCTAATCCTAACCTCAAACGTAAAACGGAAGCCAAATGGGTCAGATGTGATTATGGAGCCCGACAAAATAGCCCCAGTAAACAACCCCCCCCCCCTGCCACGTGTAATACGGGTCCTGGCTACCAACTGCGATCTGGCCGCTTTATGGGTAATGCCTCTCGATCGACGACTGTTCGGTTGCCCTGTCTTGAAGAGTGCGGTCCAGACAAATGCAGGGGCACGTGTCACCCTTCTGGGCTCAGAGGTCTGTCGGCGTCTGCCATGCCAGGACCAGCAAACCATGTCCCTCGCAGCATGGTATGCACTGGCAGTTCTCTGGCACCTGGTTCTCTGGCGGTAGATGAGCTTGCGCTCCCGCTGGGTATACAGGTCGTGAGCATGGCTGCACAGTCATCCTCGTCTTTCTGACCCGTCATGGTTAAAATCCTGGTCATTTTCTGTGTGGACCAGGGGGTGGGGAGTAGAGCGCCAAGGTGTGGGCTCGGCCGCGCCATCCACCTGCGTCCCCCTCGCCTCCGCTTGAAACTGGAGTTCATATAACAGAAAACACACGGGAAAGCTGGGGGACCCACTGACGAGCCGAACCCCTCGCAGCTGCGTCAGGCAGCGGCACAAGATCGACGAAACACGCGTGTCTGGGTTTTTAGCTAATACCGGTGTTGTTAGTACGGTAAATTATTGCACAATGCCATACTACTGGCTGCCTGTTGGGGGTTTGTGAATATTAAGCGGTTATTCCGCAGTAGCTGATGGATTTCAGCTCAAATATTCATATCAAATTTCGGACCGTGCCTGAAAAGGCCTGTTTCGAAAGAGCTACTCCAAGTTCGCGCATTAGTTTCCTCGGAAATTAAGCAAGGCAAGTTCTTGACTCTGTCTTGACACCGGGTCCAGGTGGGGGAGGAGAGTGCCGTAGATGCTTTGCAAGTCCACATTTGCTATGAACAAATTCACGCGCAAGTCACCTTGCCTGCTTCATCTTGCTGTGCAGCACACGGTGGATGTCGTCAGATGCTAAGATCGAACTGTCAGGTGAAGCCAATGTTACCTACAGTGCGTAACCGATCTCATGAAATGCTGGCCAAAACTTTGAAATTCGTTTTCGATTAGGAAGAATTACGTAAGTGCGGTTGTAATCATGATTATCCTGCGACATAATCCTATAGTGTTTCGGACTCGGTAGAAAGTTAGCTTTTGAATGCAGTGCTTTTCAATCTTCTGTAAAAACCGTACTCACTAAAAAGTGACTAATTAAGTGGCATTTATTTTTCGCACAGATTTTCGATGGTTTCGCAAATTCAAATATATTTTATAGGATTCACGAACAAAATATGCTTTCTTTCAGTCATTTGATAACGAATCACGTCATCGTTATTTTTATACTCGAAGAGGGTGTACAATAAGGTTTTGAAAAAGTTTCTAATTATAAGATTCTTAAGACCGTGAAATGTTCATTTATAGAGCATTGTACCTCTCCGCTTACCGCTGCTCCTCGTGAAATGTAAATGGTCGCATCCATAGCAAAATTTTATGGACTCTATACGGTATCTTTTTTAAAGTCATAGAAGAATATGCGATTTTCTTTATGCGGAACTCATGCAACTTGTAGACTGAAAGCACTAGGCGCTAATGCAACGGCTGATTAGGCTCCAAACTATTCGGGAATTAGAAAACTTTTTAAAACCTAATTGTACGCCTTCTTCGGATATAAAAAATAACGATGACGTAATTCGTTATCAAATGACTGAAGCAAAGCATATTTTGTTCGTGAATTCCATAAAATATATTTGAATTTGCGAGACCATCGAAAATCTGTGCGAAAAATACATGCCACTTAATTCGTCACTTTTTAGCGAGTACGGAGGAGATTGAAAAGCACTGCATTCAAAAGCTAACATCCTACCGAGTCCGAAATATTATAAGAGCATGTCGCAGGATAATCAATATTACAACCGCGCTTAAGTAATCCTTTCTAATCGAAAACGCATTTCAGAATTTTGGCCAATATTTCATGAGATCGGTCACGCACTGTATGTTGCGCAGCACATGCTGCTTGCTCAGTTTATCGGATAGGTCGACTTCTCGATAACGAGTCGACATAGTCAAAATCAACGTCGGCCGGACATCGCTAACGTTTTATGCGACATGGAGTCAGTATACCGTTGGTATGAGGGATAGGCAAGTCAGAAATCAGGAAATTTCATCGCAATAAATGCAGTAAAAATCACTTGGGTGTATGTACAAAAATTTAGGGAGGGTGCCCTCAGCACAAAGTCGCTTTTGGTACCACGTCTGTGACAAATCACCGACAAGTTACTTTGCCCGATCGATCACGCGGATATGGAAGATTCAGGCAGGGGTGTATCGCATTGGGCGTTAAAGACGACGTCACATAATACTGAGATCGTGATACGGCGAGCTCATGGAGATAAGGAATTGTCTTGAAAGGCGAATAGGGTCGGTCCACAAATACTGAGTTATATGATTCATTCGTCAGCAGAGGAAAATAATCTTCATGTTTGTATGCGCTAAGCGGAGTCATGAATCCCATTTTTGATGTTGGGTGAGACTCGCAGTTTACAGAGGAATAAAATAAAACGATTTGCGAAAAGATAATGTTGTTACAAATCCTTCCAAACATGTCAGACTCCAGACTCCCCATGCAAGAATCCTGTTATACTGTTGAAGCCGGAGGATACAAGGACCTCCTGGTACAGCCGGGCTACGTACTAAGAAAGTTTTTCAAAAGGCTTTGTTATTACACGAAGCAAGTTTACGATAAATCGTGTGGCACCACACAGTAGCATCCAGACAAAAAAATCCGCAAATGCAAGTGTTTCGTTACCAATTCCTACAATTTGACGTGATTCACTCGTTCATTTCACTCATTTGCGATGGTACTGGGCTCTATGCCCAGCCTTTGACTTCGTTAACTAATATTTTTCATACTTTCCATTTCCCCTTTTTACGGAAGATTTGTCGTGTTGGTAGTTGTTCGTGTATGTCATTCGATTTTTGCAATAAATATGTAAAATTGCGGTACCTAATGTTGATTTAGAATGAGATTTATAACTGCGAACGCGAGATGGATCGGCGTCTAGCCACCAGAATAAGGTTATCGAGACCCTCTCTAGTCCTGTTTTGAATTGTAAACATGCAGTCACAGACACGTAGCCTCAACGTGCCTTGTGAGGGGGTGGCCATGTGTTGTAAGTAAACTTGAAACACCTGGGCGATTGAGGTAGGCCTGGAGTGTCAGGCCAGACGATCTCTGAAAGTGTAGCCCCAGATGAATAACGATCGCTGAGATTCTGGTTGTTGGTCGCACTGGTTTACGATATCGGATACTCAGGAGCTGGCTAAACTCGAGTGGCAGGTAGTCACTTGGAGTCTAAGGAGTAAAAGTAGTGTCAGTGATGTACGAATGAGGATGAGCTGATTTGCTGTTGTAATTGAGTGTTAAACTGTATTAGATGAACATAAGTTTCCCCGGTGAATACGCCTGGTTTTGGAGGTTTGACTGAGCTTCGGTCGAGTGCTCCTTCTTAAACTCTCCCGTTTATCTGCATGCGGAAATGTTACTTCATTTAGTCGTACATCCAGCGTAGCCGTGCCAACAGACACGACTGAAGCCCAGAAACAGCTGACTACTGAGAGAATGCACTCCTCCCCCTAGAGGCGTTACAATGTGCTGCGATTTAGTTTTTGTTTGCGCAGGAAAGATTCAGTTGAAAAGTCTACTTGGCAAAGGCTGTCGAACATAACAACAAAGGAAGTCGATACTCGTCTGTCGGGATGGACTGATAATGCTTCAAAGCATCGGTTGAGGCAGCTGCGGATGACAACGTGATTCAAACCATTACATGTTTCAGCCAGATAAGAGTGAAATAGACATACGAATCCAAATCCAACCGATTTGTAAAACGGAGTGTCAAAAAATATAATCATAAGTTTCGGCAGTGCTGCTTTCAGAAGGTTCAAAAAGTGGGCAAATACCCTATCGTTATCACCATCGAAGAGATCGAGAAAGGAGGCCTGAGTACCAATAGCGCCTTTTGTGCCTCGGAACCGAATAAGATTGTCCCTCGCACGTTCAACGTTCTCCAAGTCCATCAGTAGCTCCTGGATCCAAAGACACATACGTCGGCCAACCGTGGTTGGCTGGGCTGGCTGAAGATGGGTACGACCCAGGCAGACTATATCGCGATACTGCCTGGCCCGACTCGCCACGCGATCAATGCAGCGCGCCAACTTTGGAGCAAGCAGTTCGAAGGCGTGTCGGAGGCAAATAAGATCGGCGTTATCTCCAACAAAGCATGAGGTAGCGCCTAACGCGTAAAGA